CAAGACAAAATAATTTTCACTGTAACAGAGAAAAGAAAATCCCGACTTTCACATCAGTATCCATAAAACTGCTCGCAGGATTGGTTTTGGGTGGTGAACAGCTAGGCTGCAAGCAGTTGAGGACAGGGAGGTACTAAAGACGTGTACTTCTGTTCTCTGGAAAACCTGAGTTCCCTATATAACTGGTATGTGGGATTAAAGGGTCACAGAGAACCTGTACTAGTATGTGAAGCATGTGGAAATTCCCTGCACGGCAGCACCGGAATGAGCCAGGAGCTAATTAGCTTTCTGTGGAAGGGAGCAAGAGGGCTGACTCTTACATGCCTCTGGCAATTACAGGAAGCTGCCATCGGAATATTCCTTAGGAAAGTGATCCATGTTAACTTGTTAACTGTGGGACAAGGGAAGGGAGGTTGAAGATTAATTACATGTCCATGGATGGTCAGGTTCAGTTTTGTAGCAGTTAAATGTTCAAATGCTGATTGCTGTGTTGTTTAAACTGTTGGAAAGCTTACCTACATCATTGATACACGTGTGTGAAATACATGCATGCTCAAAAGGTGTCAAACCCCACCGTGTGCACTCAGACGGGATGTCTTAGCAGAATAAGATTCCATTACAAGCAAATCAGTTCTTCTTAGCAAAGGACATTTTTAAAAGTGTGTATTTTGGTTTGTAGAACATGCAGCATTTCTCTGTCTGTATAAATCCCCTAATTTTTAAGTAGCTTAGGATTTTACAGTTACAGGAACATGAAAGATAATTATGAATAATAATTAAAGCTTATATCAAGCTAGTATGTGATTTGCAAAGTTGTTATGTTGCAGATGAATTGAGATGCATACAAAGGAAACAGCAGTTCAGGATTGCCTTTGTGTTATACTAAATCTGAATGCAAGAGTTTAGGGACATACACTGTGAATCAAAATATTCTATGTTATCCTTTTTAGTGTTCCATATCAAGAATGAGATACAAACATAGGTTATGTACTTAAGTTTTTGGGGGTTTTTCCACAGTAAATGTAGGACCTGGATAGAGCAAAATTTTTTTACTAGAAAGACATGTATTTTCTATTATTTGCTAATAAAAGAGAAAGAGAAGTAATTCTTCTATGTCATAAGATCTCCCCTGATATTGTACTTACTGCAGCCTTGAAACACATTCTGTCTGTCTACTTTTTGATATGAGATAATGTTGACAATGTAATTGAAACCAAAATAACAAAATCACGAATGGCAGAGATTTCTCTAGTTATTTATTTTGCCACCTCTCTTTTTTTCCTCCAATTCCTATTAAAACTGCACAGGAGGCCTTCAAATCTAATAGTGTGTGATAGAGTATTGATATGACTGATACTACCTGACTGGCTTGAGGTGTAGATGAGAAATAGCTTTTTTTTTTTTTAGTGTTTGGAAGCTAGATTTTTGTTACCTTTCAGAACTTAGAAATTCTACAAGGTGACATCCTGCTGAGTGTATCTTTATTTAAATGAAGTATGTCCTGTGCCAATGTGGTGATGTAAATTTGAGATATCTCACATACAGTTTATGCAATTGTAGACAAATATATGCACTTTAAAAGTATATCTTGGGTTAAATGATCATTTAGTTATCAGAACCTCTCATGAAATGCTACCATGTCTTATCCTGGTGTTTTCAGTGACATTTAGAAAAAAAAAAAAATTTTTTTTTTCTTTCGTATCTGTCTGTCCAGTTACATTTATTCTGTGTGAGACAGCCTAAATGTCTTATCAGGTCTGACAGAGACTCTCTGAAACTTCTTGATTTTCTTTTGTCTGCCTTTTCCTCTCAAACTGCAATCATAATGATTTAAGGAGTGAGATTTCATTTTAGATGGCTTGTTTTTTGTAACAGGTGGTGGTGTGGAGTTCACAAATGTAGTCAGAGCAACTATAAGGTGAACACTATGCCTTTAATCTGCATTATCTATGGTGGAGTTTGAATTGTGTGGTTAATATCAAAGGCTTTAAAATCTTTCACCTATGTGAAACAAAAGCTTTCAGGATTAGTGAATGAGTCAATGCAACATTTGGAATTAATATGGATCTGTTTTTATCTCTGCTTTATTTGATATTTTACTCGGAAAAGAAAAACAACTTTAACTGTTGTGTATTTTACAAACTGTTAAAATAGTGTCAGTAAATGCTACAGCCTGCACGGACTTAAGAATTCTTTATTGTTCATAGAAACAATCTGGGATTGTTTTCTAAGACACATTGTTCCTTGTTCTGGAACAAATTTAGGACAATTTCTTCATCATATTTAGAATAATACAAAACATTGATACTTCAGAAAGATTCAGAGGGAGGAGGCTGCCATTGTCTCCACACCCTGTCCAGACCTCATTGTGTATCAGTAATTTCTTTTTTTCTTTTAGTTCCAATACTAAACTGGAAATCAATAGATTGCCTACTTTTAAAGGATAAGGAGAAGGTTCATTTGGTACTAAAGAAAGGGACAAAACAAAGACCTCTGTAGTATGAAGTCAAAATAATGTTGAATTTGCAGATGTATTCTAAAACTATCACCAATAATTTAAAGTCTAATTTGTATTTTTCATTGAAAATAAATGAATTTTTTAGGAGAATGCTAAAGTAAACACAATGAATAGACTGCTTATTCCTGTACTAAAGCAAAATGACACTTGCTATTTTTTCTTATATGCTGTTTTATTGACCTAGTAAGCAAAATATTATGAAAGGGAAGATTTGAGTTTTTCTGCAAAGTAGGTTAAACAGGAATATGAGGTTAATTAATTGTTCCTGCTAATATTCAAATGTTGTATACTCATTTAAAAGTGCAATTAGTTCTCTTGGGAGTTTGCTTACAACTGTGGGATTAAACTAAAAATAATAATTTTCTTGTTAGCATGCAATAAATTCTGAGAAGATTTTGTTTTGGTGTAGTAAGCATAAGCACAGATGAGAACAGTTTTAAACAATGCCTTTCGTTATTATAAACTGCAACTTTTTTTTAACTCACTGTTCTCAGTGCTAAGCATCCTTTATAAATTACACTGGAGTGTAGGTTGCGGTTAATTAGTGAGCTTTGCATGGCAGTGTTATTCCTTGTTAACTCAAAGTATTCTCAGAGGGCTGTATGTTTTTATGGTTTTATATGTTTGGCTGTAGAGAAGCTGACATCTACTTTTTCTCTGAATTAGTCCCACTTTGCTACAGTTTCTAGCAGCCCCACTTTACTACTGTGGTTTTGGAAGTCTGATATAGCACTGTGTCTCCATATTGGAGTTGTTGCATGGACTGACCGTTCATTCACTGGTAGTTTTAACTGTCTTCCTACTTTCAGGAAGTGGGGGGCTCAACTGACTTTGGATGCCTGAGAAGAGAACCTGACTTTCCCCAAAAATTGTCCCCTACAAAGAAGAAAACTCGAGGGTATCTAAACCAAAGTCACACTGGAATACTAGCTATAATCTCTGTAGGTGGAAACTGGGGAAGTTGGAGTCTTTCCAGTTTGCCACATTTTACATGTTTTTTCATCCAATGCCACAACAGCAAAATTTGAAAAGATTAGGAGAAATGAGTGTCTTTATGACCTAATACTTGACTCCTACTACTAATTACACCTAGATTTCATCATTTGTGTCTAATAGATACTGAGACAGTTAAAAACCGTGAAGCTTGCCTACACTGCTTATAATGTGCCATTCACTGGGTGAATATTTATAAAGTATGAAATGGGTAGATATCTTGCATAGTTAGAATCAATGCATAGTTAAAGAATAGAAACCAAGCAATGAGGTAGTAAATAGAAAGGATGGCTTCTTTTCATATGCTCTTTTCAGTAAGCATTTTTTTTTTGTTCATAACAATGCAGAAAAGAGGCAAACTAACTGCCAGCCCTTCTCAAAACTGTGAAACTTGTGGAAATGTGAGCACTAAAGGGCCACTGTATTTTCAAAGTTTAATTGTATATTTTTTCCTAGGGCAAGTGTTTTCCTAGACATCAAGGAGTTCAAATGGTTCTTGAAAAGGTTGTTGAAGTTTGGTAATAGCATATTGTGATGCACACATTAGAAAATGAGTCAGAAGTGTATTGTACACTTCCAGGACAATTTAAGATCCAAAATGAAAGGAATTTAAATACAAGTGGGGATAAATTTCTGAAAGAGATATACAATGCCTTAGCAATTTACATAATTAAGAAACAGAAGAGAATTTTGAGCGCCAGTAGTAATTGGCTATTCAGTAAAGGCAGACTTGCTCACTTCACTCATCTGCAAATTATTCAGCCATCATTAAATTAGTGCTGAGGCAGCATTAGTACCTGAAAAATGTGTCATGACTATAAATGATCACCTTCAGTCTAAATCACAAAGCAACTTAGTCTAACTTAAATTTTCTGAGTAAGCAGTGTTTTTAATACAAAGTAGTAGCTCTCTAGGTAAGGTTACAAAATTTTCCTTTCTACTATAGTTCCATGATTACTACTTAAAAGAAAATTAAAATTAGGTGGTTTAGAATAAGAGAAGAGCACATTTTTGAAGTTATTAGTGATCAGTGTTTAATAAATTCCTGTAATGGCTAAAAACTTGCCTTGTGCTCAATGAAATGGGACTGTAGTTGTGAATACAGGATGACATTCTATTGGTATGCATGGTATGATTGCAATTTTGCTC